GCTCATTAGATTGGACCGAGTAACACCTTCAAATTTGATGAGACCGAAATGCTAGCAAGAGATGAGCAAAGAATTACTTGAGTTAATGGTTCACGGGCCTCCAATCCATAAACAAATGCAACGATTTGTCCAATCCTAATGCAGTGCTGTGACTCAATTTGGCCAAAGCAAGTCGCCACTCGGGGAACGCACAGGCAACCGCATCGTCTTACCGCAACACCGGGGAACCAGATGGCCGAGAAATCATCACGTCTAATTCCACCATGTGTGATGAAGATTCAGTGACTCAGGGCCCGCATGCCGGTAATCAAGCAAGGCAATTACGGTTAATTGTCGTTATTTGTCACACGTGTGCATCAATGACTCTGTCCTCTAAATAGTGCAACCTCCCGTGCATGTGGTACCTGCTTCTGTAACAGATATCTGTTCATGTCTCTTATGAAGATTCTTTGACGGATGCCGAAACGTCGGTTGAATAGAAATGTTGACCCAGCGATCGAATCTTCCTCTCATTGCACTTATTTCTAAAAAAGGGGCCAGTGCACCATGTCTCCGCAAATGCGCCAGATCCTGTAACCAACTCCAGATGTTGCTTGCGTAGCAATTGTTTTTTTTGGTTTCATTATGTGACGCCTTAGAGTTACCTACAGTCTGTGCTCGACTCCAACCTTTAACAGTTTACTAATAGTACTTAATCAACAGTCTGCCAGAGCAGATAAGACAGATTTAAAATAATAATAACTATAATTCCCACAAATTACTGATTCAATATCTATGACCTTGGGATAAGATTTCAGCCTAAGACCAAGGAAAAATGATGTGAATTGAATGAGTATTTCAGTTTCACAACCATATACAGGTTTCCAGGCTTTCTAGAACTCTTGACAGATATATACTGTGCAGAAAAATCTGTTGGACCATGTTTCGATACTAAAATGCTAGAATTATTGACCAAACAAGGAGCTAGCCCAAAATAATCCATGGTTCCAAAGTATGCCAACCTGTGACATCGTTCGCAGCCAGTTTGGATTGCATTTATTAGCTATTTTGATACCTTTCCTCAGTCCAAAATTTCAGACAGATTTTGAAAGCAAAACAACCTGACCTTCAAAAGCCGCGTTACAACGATCGAAACATGGATCAACTAGAGGGCGAGTAAGACCAGTAAATCTAATTATTAGGGCAGTTTTGACTGACTTCAATTGCTCATTCAACCAAATTAAGGAAAAAACGGCGGCTTTGGTGGTATTCATGAGCATGCAGTGCTGGAAGTTAAATCCAGGTCCCCAAGAAACACTTCAAAACCCCATCTGTGTGTATAGGGGACAGGTGGTAATGAAGATTATACAGTTTAGGCATTATATAGGAAAGAAAATGATAAGAAAAAGGAGAGCGTATAAAAGGAGAAAAATAGGAATAAGTATTTTAATAATCTAATGATTGGCAACGAAAAGGGTGTCATGAATGAAAATGCTCAACTACACAATTATCGGGAACTGCTCAAATGTTAAGTGAAGTATAAATAAAATAAAAACCACATGGGACTAATAACTCTAAAACGCTACTACAAATTAAACTAAAATTAAAGTCCACTTACCAATGAAAGATAACCTAAAATAAGGCACACAAACTAGCCTTAAAGCTAAAGGCTAAAATAAAACTAGTAAAACGCAATGAACTGAATTATTAATGAATTAAACTAAACCAAACTAAGGTCCAGGGGACTAGTCAAAATTTTAACTCGAAACGCAACCGCTTGTGGCCAATAAATCTAAAAGTAACCTAAAACCTCACTAAACAAAAGTAAACTAAAATAAACTAAATTATGCAAGCTGAAAAATCTAAATATTATACAAAGTTAGTAAAATGTGATAACAGTCGCGTGGTGTCAATGGCTTCAAAAGGACTACCAGCTGCTGGAAAAAGTACAGAGGAGGGCAATAAAAATCATGAAGGTCCTAAAGTCCTCATCTTACGAATTTAGACTAGAAGTACTTAACCTTTTTGCTCTTGAGTACAGGCAAATCCGAGGTGATCTCATACAGACGTACAAGCACGGGAGGAATCGCGAATGTGCCCTTCAGTTTGAGGACTTCTTCACGTTCGCCACATCAACTAGCCTCCGTGGTAATTCTCTCAAACTCCGGGGCACCTTAACCCGTCTGGATGTCCGCAGACATTCGTTCTCACAACGAGTCATCGGTGACTGAACGGACTGCCCAAGGAGGTCGTAATGGCGAACTCCACAGATGCATTCAAGCGAGAACTGGATGGACATTTACTTAACAGTTACATATGCACAGGAAGCATATGCACAAGGAAGCAGTAGTAATCTACGCATTGGCCAAGCCTATAGATAAAACTTACAAATATATATATATATATATGTTACCCACCATTTTATAGTAACATATTATATATAGTATATATTATCGTATATATATTATGTACACAAGAAAACACTGAACGCTCTCACGGACACGTTGATCATACCTGCAGCTAAAATTTGTAAATGTATATATGTTACTCACTATTTTATAGTAACATATTTTATGTTTGACATTTCATGTATCCTGTTTTCAATAGGGTCTTCAAAGGCATTGCCTACTACCCTAAATATATTGAACTATACTGAACTAGCCTAAAAACAAAAGCAAAACTGAACAGAAAAATAGAATAAATCATAATCAAATAGGTTGTATTTCTCTTTTTATTTATGGCGCGCCAAACATCGGTGCCAAACATTAGATTATTTAAACAAATTTGGGTACCTAAATTTAACTTCCACCACGCTAGCAAGGGGAAGGGTTCAGTACAGCCAACGCTCCAGCCACCGGTCTCACCGTGAGTTTTATCCCACTGAGGTCAACTTACCTGCCCATTCAACACCAACGTATGAAATTTACCAATTCGAACATAGCAAACTGGAGGATTACCTAAGTAATCAACTCGAATCCCCTAGAGGACTACAAAGCAAATTTCATTAATAAGCGATTTGACAGATGTAGATAGTACATTTAACTTGATTTTGAGTAACTAGGCCTTTTCGGTGGAATTCAAGCGCGCTCCATTACAGCCAACGCTTCACCCGACTGAGTGATAGAGGCCCCACCATCGCTCAGATCTTGGTTGACTGAGCTTAGAACAAAACCAAAGTCTTACAAAGTGAACGTAGAATTTAGTCCGTGGCGCGGTGTAGAAGCGTTGTAGCCTGACGTAGAACTTCAGGCGTCCGTCCTTCGTGTAGTCACCGTCCTCATTGTCCGCATCATCTCTATCGTCTGCCTCTTCACCGGGCGTCTCAGTACCGTGGGTGCTGGTGCTCGCCAGGGGTTTCATTTCCAATCTGCTGGCCTCTTCATAGTCATTGTCGTCCTCCAAAATGGCGGACTCCGTGCAGAAGATGAAGAGTTTGTCAGACAGCAGGAGAAGGGGACAGAAGTAGGCCAAAATGATCACAAACCCGTTGGCCTTGACGCCCGCACACCAAGCAAAATCGACGGCGTATTGGCAGGATACGGAACTCATGAATTTGAGACAGTGTGCTTGAGCAGCTAGTTCAGTGCAGGTACAGCCATCGGTGTCCTCGGACCGGCGATCCAGGAGATAAGTGGTCATACCCTGTCAAATGCAAAAAATCAAGAGTCCTTTAATGAATTTGGGGTGGGTATAAGGCAATGCCATTGAAACCTCTAGTGTTTACGGGCCGGTGCGTCATATACACGCACACTTTATATATTATCAATTTTAAAATAGTATTCACAAACTGTGAGTAGCATTGATTTTACAAATAACGCTTGTCCGCAGTTAGCCTGTCGAGGGACAACAAGGGACACATCTAATTATCCAAACCCTTATTGAAGAGATGTAGGGATTAGTTGGATACCTTCTCAAGTCCGACGACGACCTGGGGACCGAAAATTTAATCAAAAAAGTTACCGTTTTTTCCTAACAACGCCATCTTTCCAATTCAAATATATTTTAAAGAAAGAATACAAAACAATATTCCTTTTACACCTGTCTGCTAGTTAATTACGCCTTCTTCAAAGGTTAAACTTGAATAAGGGCCATCCCGCAGTTTCAAGAAATTTCCAATTTTGAGATTTTTTAAGACAGGGGGATGAGCATTTAGAATGCATCTTATCGATCAATCTATTCCCGTTGCCCATTAAGTGTGCAACACGTTTCAAACCTCTGAAGGACTTTTTTAACTTTTTCATCTTAGCATGGAAAAGTGTTTGATTTTCCTTACAGCGAATGTCTACAGCATGTAGGTTGGAAACCAGATATCCAAGTGTCACATATCCGGCACTCCAGAAAGTGTATTAAAGTTGAAATACACCCTTTCCTAAGGTACACACATTAAAGAAGGTTTACTTTGCTAAAAAAATGGTACAAGGAAAAGTATTTTTGAACATTTTTTGTAAATTATATTTGCGTTTATAAGAGCATAGAAGACGCACGAGAAAAAAAACATTCTATTTAAATAGTAAATATTTGCATAGTCTGCATTTTGCATGTGGTTAGAAAGAAGATTGAATTGTCTTGAGATTAGACCGGAATTCTACATTTCCTACTTTCATGTGTAATTGCACTAGAGGGGCAATATAGTGTATGTGTATTGGCGCCAACGGTGTCATACATCCAGTGGAGTTTGCGTCCAATAAAAACTGACGTCCGTCGTTGCCTCACATATCGGGTACTGTTGTTTGTTTCGCAATCGCAGTTCAGGCCTGGTTGTTTTTTCTTACTGTACAGAGGTCGCCCTACACTAAGGTTTTACAAACTGTGTATGTGACCGAAAGGCACACGAGGTGTTTGCCAGCGCACGGGAGTCATTTTAGTCAGCAGTCGATTTAAAGTAAACAAACAATGAGAGCACGAAGTCCGACTACGGCTATGGCCAGTTGTACATCCGGCCCTGAGAGGCAGCTGGATTAGCATAACGTGGGTATGTGCAGGCTGTACTGTGACAAGGACACCCGCAAACCATGAAGACGGAGTGAGGTGACGGCTCCAGCATGCTGCACTCCTGCCTGAGAGAGAGAATTTAAATTAGGCAGGTCGGTGAGAGTCTCGCGGTACCGGAACCATTCAGAGTCATTGTCGTCTGTTAAGGGTTTAAGCAAAGCTCGTCCAGCCTGCAGGGATTTGTGAGGTTGACAGCCATTTTATTTTTTCTCACACATTATTAAAATCGGTAGATTTAAGAAAGTTCAATCCAAGAGCCTCGACAAAATTGACCAATTGAGGGTCATGTAGTTTGTTATTTTCGTCAGGATGATTATGGACTAGTTTGGGTACAGTATATCGCATCTCCTGCCTTAACAGTCCCTGTAACTACAAGGGCCAAACTAAACGCCTGCTCGAATAGCACATACATGCACATTACTCGGCCGTATAAAAGTATGGCTGATTATCATAAGTGGCTGCGCACATTTAACTCCGCAGCCATGCCAGTAGTTATAAAAGATGGCAATTGATTAAAGCCTGGGTATTCAGTGAGAACTTATTTACGAAGAAAAAGATTAGATCACAAGGACAACACTTTGATTCACGGATTCTTCAGTAGACGTGAGCAGAAAATATATGCAGAAATCGATGGCACATGTACAGGACGTTGCAGTAGTTATAGGACACATTCATTACTGTATTTACACGTATGACAAATAAAAGTGTTGCCTCAAAGATCGATTATTCTTCTTAAATAGTTCCTAGGACTCGAATGTTTGCTAGCATTAGCAGAATTTAGTCAATGGATTTATCTATCTGGTGCCGGTATGTAGAACCCTGCACAGTCACTTCCGGTCTGGTCTTGGTGTATAATAACTCTTATACATCATATAACTGTTGCTTGCTTTTTGCCGCTTTTGGCTCTAAAAATGGATTCCAGCATGTGTATGAAAACTCGAAAGAAACGGTTCCACAAATCAAAAAGTCTGTGGGAGCCTGCCTCGCCGACTCACGCTGGCTTCGTTGCCAAAAGCCGCGCAAGTTCAGTTTCTACGCGCGCCTGGCTCAATGCCTACGAACTGCGTCTGCCAACAGCTACGAGAGGCCCCGCCATGTTCTACCGACCTATCCTCCCCGATTGTCGTGGCTCAGTGCGCACGTTAGCTCCAGCCAATAGATGCGCGCATCTCCACCTGG